GGGTTAACGACGGAGGAAGAGCGGGCTGTCCAGGCCAGGAGGCCCCCAGGCAGGGAGAGAGAGAAAGCCGTGTTAGTCAGAGTTCATCACCACCACCACCACCATCACCGCCACCACCGCCACGAACCACCGACCACCGACCACCACCAGCAGCCACTGCCGCAGCACACAGCGGGGAGGAAAAAGCCAGCCACAACCGAGAGGGAGGGACCAAAACGGGCAACCCCATCCTGACTGCACAGAGGGTGGGGGAGCCAGGGTGGCTGGGGGGGTCAGGCGTGGCTGCAGAGGGGGCTCTCCTGCGTGGCTGGCCCTGGGGGAGGTGACAGGAGAAGGACAGGCAAGTGAGGGGGCAGGAGGGGTTGCTCGTCTCCATGGCCAGCCTGCCCATGGGGTGGATGGTGGAGGGAAGTGGGGGTAGAGGAGCAGAAGAGGAAGTGAAGGTGGGGCTGGGCAAGGGGGCAGGAAGAGGGAAGGAGGGCGAGCGCAGATACTCAGTACATATGATCAAACCAGGTAAAGTCACTCACTTGAGGGACAGTCGTGGGTCGCCATAAGGGGCGTAGGGTGAAATGTTTAGAATAAACTCCTTGGGAGGATAGGAGCTCCATTTCTGCTGCACTGTGCTTTCATTGTTATTCCAAAAGTCTCTGTCTAGGTCGCTGGAGGGGCAGAGAGAGAGGGGAGAAAACAGGGAGATACAAGAAGAAACAAGAACTGAAAGTCCTGCGAGGGCAGAAGGGACGTGGGACCCCTGGGGGGCACCCCTGAGGGCAGGGTCTCGAGGGTCTGCTCCTGCAGAGGAAGAAAGGCAGGCGGGCGGGTGGGCACCGCAGCCTGGGCCAGGCACCTGTGCATTCACACATCCAGGTAGGCACACACACACACACACACACACACACACACACACACACACACAAAAGCACGTGCACACTGGAGGGCCAGCAAGGGAAGCCACACAGGAAGGAGGCAAGCCGCAGTCGGGCAGACAGGAGCCTCGTGCCTAGGAAGCTGGTGGGAGAGAGAGAGAGATGATGAGAGAGGAGGGGGATGGAGGTGGGTGCTGGGAATAAGGTCTGGATTGGGTGGGGGAAGACACTAGGAGAAGGGGAAGGTACTGGTTTAATATTAGAAGGAGCTAGAAAATAGGGCAGGTCCTGTTGCTGGTTGCTGGCTCTGCCTCTCTATGGCCTCAGTTTCCCTGACAGTCAAAGGAGAACACTGGCTTTTCTTCCTCTTCCATCTTCTCTCTGGTGAACTAACGTGTTCCCTAGCTTCCTCTGTGCCCTTCCCACCTCTGGGATGAGGCTGGGATGCAATGTTTTCATGAGACAGGATGAGTAGAACCAGTTGGGTGGGGATACCAGAGAAGGGAGGTGGCCTGGTCTCTGAATTCATCAAGGGTCATGAAGGCCCTTTGATCCGGGGCCTGCGTGGAAGGAACCTGCTCTTCTCTTGGGCCAGTGGGACCTGCTCAAGCCTTGGCCTATAGTGAACATTTGGCCTGGCTGAGAAGGCTGAGAACATTTGGCTGAGAATCCTTTCTTTCACCTCTGTCCCTTTCTATGGGGGAGCAGCTGTCCATCACCCTTCATGCTGGTGGCTTGTCCTGTGGCAGGAGCTGGCCTGCCAGGAACATAGATAATGTAGGGACCTCTGTGTAGGATATAGGGCAGATAGCAGAATTCTGGGCTGCTGGAGGCCATGGCTTGGAGACCCCAGAAGCCAAAGACAGATCTCCACAAGCTTATTAGTTTCCTGGGTTCCCAAAGTGACAGGATTGGGCACTGAGGAAGAAGGGAGAGAACCTTCCCAGGCTAGAGGACCATTCCAGAAAGGAACCATGCTCAGGTGACAGGAGTGCTGCTGGGAGAAGAGTCTGGCCTGTGCTCCTGCTGAGGCTAGGTGGAGCATGGCTAGGGGCTGGGCACCATGGGAGCATCCCCTATTCTAAGGGAAGCAGCTTCTCATGTCCCTGAGAGTTTAATCTTGACTTTGGTTCTGCACCTCAGACTCAGGAACAAGGGAGAAAAAAGGTGAGAAGCTAAGTGACCACCAAAGACCCAGAGGAGACAGTGACCTTGGCTTTCCCTGATAGTTTTCTTTTACTCTCCAAAATACACTTTAGAAATGTCTCATAAGGCATTTATTTATATGCACAAAGTTCAAAGCCCGGGCCCTGAGCCAGCTCACAGGGACGGTGGGAGCAGGAGTTAGGGGAGGCAAGAGAGTCTCCAGGGAAAACTGCTCCCTCTACAAAAGACCCCATGCCCACCAGAGATGTTCCTTTGGCCCCACTCCCCAGCAGGGCCTCAATCAGATCAAGACTTCCTGTATCAGGTGTAAGAGGGATGGGCAAGCGTGCAGTTTCCCTCCCTGTGCTCCCTCCAGGTCTCCATCCAACCCATGGTCCTAGAGGAAAAGATCCACCCAGTCATCAGTGCCAGGGTGTCCTCATGCCCTGTTTTCTGAGGTCACTTGTATTTCTACTATGACACTGGAAGAGAGGCTCTCTCATGAAAGAAGTTTGGGAAAATCTGGTTCTTTTACTACAGGACTTGTCAGAGTCTTTAACCTGTGAATGACCATTAGTAACATCACAAGAGAAATGTAGTATGCAGTGTTTCCCAGACTTGATTGGCTGTAGAACTCTTGATGTGTTCATCATTTCTGAGGCACAGGTGTTCCAAGGAACACAGTTTAGGAAGTGCTGCTGAAGAATCCAGCATTCCAGAACCCTGGACAACATGTTCCCTTTGGAGGAGATTCTAAGCCCATGGGAAGTTATACAATAAATAAACTGCCCAGGATGGGAAATCCGGGACACACAGATGTGAATAATGGCTTCTATGCTAAGAGGCAGAGGGTCTGGCAGCCCAGCAGGTAGAGGCAGGCTCAGGTTGTAGATAGTGGGTCTGCAGGGCTACAGAGGGTTACACTGTTCTCACTGAGCCATAGAAAGCTCTTTGGGGTCCAGGTTGTAGCCTGGCAGGTCCTACTACCTACTCTAATGCCCTTCTTTTCCCTTGCTGGCTAGAGGGCCCCTTTCTAGAACAGCTGGTTCTGCCATATGCACCCCTGTCCAGGAAGGTTATGGTCACCTGTCCTCACCCAGGGCCGCAAACAGCCCAGACTGGAGGTGACCCCCTGCTCCCCATCATGTGGTCTCCCTAGCCCCCACCTTCAGAAAGCTCAGAACCTGTACTCTACAACAGCCCCTGAGGCCTGCCAGCTCCTGTCTTTGAAGACTGGAGAGCTTGCAACCAAACTCAGCTTCAAAGACTCCCCATGGTTGCCTTCTGAGCCTTCCACCCACCCAAGCCCTCAGCTGGCCCACCCTTCCACTCACTCCCCCACCCAAGACATGCCCCCGCAGCTTCTGTGAAGGCCCCAAACATGGTCAGAGCAAGAGATGAAAAAAAGAGGAGGGGCAGGGAGGGAGCCTCAGGAATGGGTGAGGGAGCAAGAGAAGGGAGATGCAGGAGGACAAGGGTGTGCAGGGGCACAGGGGAAGGGTAGGGAGCATGGAGGGTCTTAAGTTGGAAGGGGAGGAGTGTGGGGAGGGATGGGGCTCGGCTTCCAGGCAGAGTCCCTTGGCTGGCAGGCTTGATCCTGTCCAGGTTAGGGTGGAAGATGGGCTGGACTCTACAGAGAGCAAGGAGCTGGAGCCATAGACAGTAGGAATAGCCCTACAGAAAAAGCTCCATCCTCAAAGCCTGAGCCCAAGGCAGGCAGGGGCTTCTTTAGTGTTTCCCAGTGACTGAGAGTTGACCACAGTGGTCTTCAGTGAGGTGGCCCAGCCAATGGAGAAAGCTCTTAAGAGTTCACTGGGGAACCTTGGGCACGGCAAAGACAGTAGGACCTAGAGGGGACATGATGAAATGGGAGGGGAGAGTCTCTCTCTCCATGGTCCTGTATCCCCAGGACCAAGCAGTGTGCTAGCCAAGGTCCTTATGGTTTGCCTGTCTCCTTCCCAGGTTGCCCTCCAAGCATGAGGGAAACGGAGAAAAGATCCTAAACCAATGAGGAGGGGGTTCCCAGCCAATCATTAGGGGCTGGGGGAAGAGGCTGGAGGGTCCAGGGACCTGCTGGGCGTTGGGGACAGTATATGTGACATTGAAAGTTGGATGGAAGACTCAGCATGGCACATATAGGGCTGTGGGAGAGGGCAGCCAGAGAAAGAAGGTTGGGGTCTCTGAAACCTTGTGAGATCCTGGGGACAGGTAGAAAAGGGGGGCCCTGGAATCACCTAGGGTTCTGAGACTAAGGGGGTAGGTCAGGGCATGGCCTCAGGGAGTGAGGGGGACACAGGATGTGTGTGGTGTGGCCAGATCTGGGAGGGGTAGAAGGGGCTCCTCCCACCTGGGCTACCTACGAAACCCCCAAACTGGCAGCCTGGCACCTACTTGATGGCTTTCTTCTCACTGCGCCCACGCCCCGAGTCTGGCGTGCCCACTGTTTCCAAGGAGTTCTTGTAGCGTTTGCCCTGTGGAGACAGTACCAGGGTCACTCCTGGGGGTCAGGGCTGGACTTTCCCCACTTTCCCAGAACCGGGGCTCCAAGGGATAGGAAGAAAACTGATGTCTAAATTTGAGACAAAGCCCAGGGTCATTGTGGGGTACCTACCCCCTAGGTGGGTCCCCCATGGGCTTTAGGACCTGCCTGCTGCCCACAATGAATACCTCATGCCTGACCCTCAGGTATCAGGCTGTCCTGTCTGCTTGTCTCCTGGGCCTCTGGCCCAGCTCCCAGAAACAGTTTCCTCTGCCATGGACAGACGCTCTCAGGAGCCTGGCCACGTCACAGAGTCCACGTCACCACCCCCAGATGGTGGGGGTGGCATCCTGCAGGGCAAGGTTGGCAGTGGCCAATGACGTGAGCAGCGGGGGCAGGGAGGAGGCCTCATGCTCAGGCTTGCCAGGGCTGTGTGGTCACTGCCTGGGGGCTCCCTGGGGCCTGCATGATCTGGGCTGGAAGTCAGGGACAGGACCTTTGTAAGATGCAATCTAGGGAAGGCAGGCCACAGGCTGACTCTGTGGGCTCCAGGGCAGCCTGAGCCTTGGACAACTCTCAGGGTTGCTTAACCCAATGTGAGAAGGGAAGAGGCAGGGCAGGGGGTGGGCATCCTGGGTCTACCAGTGTGAGGAAGTGTGGCAGCAAAAGCCTGTGCCAGGAGGTGAGTACCATTTACCTTCTCGGTTTGGGTTTCTAAATTTAGATCATGCAGAGCCCAGCCCCATTAACATTCCTGGCTGCCACCAAACGTCCTCACGCACACCCATGGGCCATGGGCCGGGGCCAGGCCATAGCTGATGTAGGCAGTGCAAGGATGGGAGCTGAGCAGGGGCAAGGACTGTCTTGCAGCCCCTTCTCCCACTGGGCACTAACAGGCCCTGGCCTAGCAGAGTGGGACAGACAGAAAGGCAGACACACAGACACACACATGCATACATATACGTGCATGCTTCCCCAACATCCTGTCACGTACACCAACACCACAGCCACAACAGTCAATTATTCCATCCTTCCAAACACAAAATAAGTGCTGCCACGGCTGCATTCCCACATGCTCCTGCCAGCTGCATCCCCTTCGTGGCCAGGGGAAGTGCCTATCCTGCGAAATACAGTGTAGCTCCCAGGAAGATGTGCAGTACAGAGCCACCCCCCAAACCACCCACAATACCCCTACATCTCAGAGGTCCTTTGGTCTTGGCACCAACAGAGCCACCTATTCCCCCCACCCCTTCCCCATGTCACCCTAGCCAAGTCCTTTCCCCTCTTTCCATTCCTCACATAGTTCCAAGTCACCAGGTAGGCCCAGTGGAGGAGGGGCTTCTGGTACCCAGATATTATCACATCTCTGTTTGTTTATGTCAGTTCCCACACCCTGGCACAGAGTCCTACAAAGGCAGGTAGTTCTCAATATCAACTGCAAGTGCCCTTCTATGACCCCACCTACCCTGGGGACTGGGCTTCAAGCTGTTGCTTTGAGCCCAAATCTTCTAAATTTAAATACAGAGACACTGGGCCCTCCAGATCCACAGAATCACCCTCCCTCAACTCAGTCTGGTGCCTCCCATCATTACTCCGAAGTTCAAATTCCAAACAACTCCAAGCATCGACTAGGAGCTGGGGGCAGAGCCACACTGTGATGACCAAGGGCTATCTTCAGAAGGCCCTGGGCAAGAGCCCAGGCACCAGAGCTGTGCCAGACTTGGCCATTCTGAGGGAAGGTACTCCCTTCCCCTCTTTCTTTCAGATATTGGCTGGAAAGCGCGCCTTGGCTAGCACCATCTTCCAAAGTTGCCCAGTTGCCCCTTCCAGAAGGCCAGGGAGGGCTGAGGTAGGTGATCTTGATGGCCCAGGGCATTTGGAGAGCTTCTGAGTGCCCTTCCTCCTGCTGCAGCTCAGAGAACCTTTCCCACTGGCTAAGGGGCTAAGTCTGCAGCAGGAGCTATAGTGCCATTTGGAACAGGACCCAGGGCAGGACTGGGTTGAGGAAATTTCATAGGACAACCCAAATTAATTGGAAACCCAGGTAGGGTCCCAGAGACATTAGGTAGCTTGGGAGGAGCCCAAAGACACTAACCACTTATCATAGAAGGGGCTTGCCAGGCTGATCTGAAAAAAGTCAGCTGGAAATGATTAAGGAAGTTTGCAAATGTGATCTGGGCTGTCAAGGTAGCACATCACTGGAGCTGAGAGGGACAGATGGACAAGGAGAGGCTAGCCACTGTCTGTGGGGAATGCATTTTAAAGCTTCTTCTAAAGAGCAAAGAGATAGCTTAAGCAAAAAGTGTCCTGGTATTTGGGTTCCATGGCACAGGAAGCTTGGGGTGGCATGGTTTAGGGGGCCAAGAAAGAAATAATCTATGAAGAGGAAGTCAAGAGAAACAGTTCAGAGGCCTGACGCTGGGACTTTACCATCCTGAGGCCAAAGAGGATGCTGGTTCCCCATCTCTCAGGTGCCTAAGGCATTCTGTGCTGAAAGTCCCCACCTACCACAAACCTGCCTCATATTCTATCCCCTTTGGAAGTGAGTGGGAGTGGGGTGGGGCCAGCCATACTCTAGTCTTGGAGAGGATGTAGACACACACACACACACACACACACGCACACACACACACACACCCCACACACACAGTGGTGCAGTGCACATGCAAGGGAGACCAGGACATGGGCAGACTTCACAGTTATACAAGTATCAGATAAGATGATATACATCTCACTGCTGAGGGGTGGGGACACACACACACACATACACACACACACACACACTGCACCAGTGGCCCTTAAGGTCAACATATTTGGCACAACAACCCTCCTCCCCAAACACATATAAACACAAGGTCATCACCTCATACAACCTTCCTCTGCTTTCAAATACAGACAGGCAGGAAGACACTCTAACCAGTCCTACAACAAGGCATACCAGGCTGCAGTGTGTAGTTCTGTGGTCTTGGAGGACACTGGTACACAAGGCACAAAGCCAAATTCCCTCCGGTGTCTCCCTTAAATTTTGAGGGAGGTGCAGACACAAGGGACCAAGGGACAATGTAGGGCAGCCAACCAGGTTTTCCACACATTTGCCTGCAGCAGGGGGCTGGGTCTCTCTCTCTCTCTCTCTCTCTCTCTCTCTCTCTCTCTCTCTCTCCTCTCTGTCTCTCTGTCACATTTCTCCATCGTGCCATCCAACACACACACACTCACTCACTCACGCACTCACTCACTCACTTAGGGAGCTGAGTTGGCTTTCTCTGTGGCTCTATCCCCTGGAGGATCCCTGCCTACGCCTGGGACAGCTCTGGGCCACCATCGAGGGTGCCTCCTTACAACTCTCAAAAACCCCATTGGGTTTCTAGGCAGGACGGCAGGACACAGGCTGAAGGGTCTGGACTGGGGGTCTTGCAGAACCACAGCCCTTGCGCAGCTCCGAGTCCGGAGGAGCAGGAGCTCAGTTAGCCCTCCCTCCCAGCGCCCTCGGGTGATGAATGTCCCACCTGACGGTCTCGTTACTTATTGATGGCTTAATCCCGCTCGTTAATTCCCCGGCCCTCGTTAAAAATGAAAAGAAGCCGTTTGAGCTTGTACAAACCGGGAGAATCAGGATGGATGTGCGGTGGCTGGGGGTGGAGCGGGGCGGGCGGCGCCTCCTCATTGGCCAGAAGGCTCTGCGGATCGGCCACGCCCATTGGACGGGGAAGGCGTGAGAGGGAACGTGAGGGGCGCGGTGCCCGGGAGGGAAGGGTTCCAGGGGGTCCTCAATTCTCAGTCTGTGCGTGTCTGTCTGCGGTTCTTTATACAGGAGATGGGGCGTGTGTGCACGCGCCTGCGTCAGTGTAGTCGTGAGCGCGTGAATGCCTGAGACCTAAGTATGTGTCCCCAAGTATGTGCCTCCAGTTGTAAAGAGATGTATGGGACCAAGACCCAGGCAGTCGAAGGGTGCGTGCTTTGATGTGAAGTTCTGTGCCAGTATGCCTGACCGTGGGCAGGCAGATTATTTGCTCTAGAGAATTTAGGGGCCAGTGTTTGCAGGGTGCCAGGGTGCACGGCCAGGCCATGTCCTGTCCCTGAAGGGATCCCCCCATCCCCCAGTAAGAGCCTCACCAGTTTGCGCTGACACCAGTGGCACAGGCCACAGAGGACGACAGTAACACTAAGGCTGACGGTGATGATGGCAGAGACCAGCAGGACATCTCGGGTAGGCGCCCCTAGGGAGGACACACACACAGTCAGAGCATCATGGGTCTGGGCTACTTTCCTTTATCCCAGAGCCCCCAGCACCATCACCCTCCCCTTCTGTCCAGCATATCCATTCCCAGCTCTACCTTTTCTGCCTGAACTTGAGAAATCCCTTCCCACTCAGTGACTTGGCTTCCTCTAAAAATGGAGGAATTGTGCTGCCTGGCAACTCCCTGTATCATTCTCTAAAGTGACCCCCTCAAAGAGTGAGGCCACATGTGTCAGCCCAGCTAGACATCCTGGATCCACAAATGCCTCTAAAGGAGCCACTGCTTCTATTGAGGCTCCTTTTCCAGACCTCACGCCCCATACCCGACTCTGAACAGCAAATGTGTTCAAAGGACTGTAGTTGCCACAGTCCTGCTATGCAGACCCTCTTAAGGGTTTGGTCAAGATTCAACAGTGACATGTGTAGTCAAAAGGGAATTTCTAGAACCCTCTGCCCATGGGAGTTCAGTTTTCCTTGTCCTGGAGGCCCTCTCCTGGTTTCTGTCCACCTCTGCCCTCCCCATACTTAGTCCCTGAGCTCTCTTCCATCCCTCCCTTCCCTGTTGGCTCCAGCCTCATCTGCTTACTAGCAAGGTCCCAGATGCTCATAAGGGCCACCTGCAGCCTCCATGTAAGTGCTCCAAGGTCTCATGCATTAGGAGTAGAAACCTGCTGTGGGAGGAAAACCCCAGGTTTCTCCATAGATCCTGTTTCCTCTGAGCTTTGTAGATCTTGATAAGTCATATAAACACTCAGTTTTCTCCTCTGGAAATGCAAATTAAACCACTTCCCCTGTCTTCCTCACAGGGGGTTGTAAACATTAGCCCAAAACAAATGTACTGAAGGCAAAACCTTGACCAAAAATGACCATGTGGGGGAGTAAGAAGAGAGAGAACAACACAGAGCACATGTGAATTATAAATATGTGTGCGCTAGGATATGTCCTAAATCAAGAAGATGTGGTTTATTTACACAGGAGCCTGCATGGGCTTTTTGGTGCCAGTGATTGCAGTAATTAAGAGTTGACAATATCTGTCTGGTCCTGGTTCCTGTGGTTTTAGCTTCTGCCTCTCTTCACTGGGTCTCTCCTGCATGGTGCTGAGGCTTCAGGAAGGAGGGTCTGGCATTCATTCCTAGCTCTTGGGGCCTCTGGGCTCCCTCCCACCATCTCTAAAGCACCTTGAAGGAGCCCATTTGCTACCAGTTCTTTCAAGAAAACTGTTTAGGTCTCACCAACTTTCTAGGCCTCTCAGGAAATGGCCACTTTTGCCCAGCTAGCACCCATCTACCACTTGCCAGGCACACAGAGCCTCTTCTGTACCAAGTGCTCAGTCCTAATTACAGGAAGCCCTGTGTCCAGTTCCTGACAGCATCAGGGTCCACAGAAACCATTAGCTCTGACCTGGTCCTGCCTCATGGCCACACACAAGCCCTTGATGTCTGGGACCTCAGTACCACATCTGTGGAAGAGTTGATCATTCCTCACTCAGAGGACGAGCCAGGAGTTCCAGATGTTTTACCTGCAGGTACTTCATTCTCACAACAACAAATGAGTTAAGGATTGTGAGTTGTCCCCATTTTACAAATAAAGTACCTGAGGCTCAGAGGGCTCAGATATGTTCACAGTCACTCAGCTAGTAAGTGGGAGAGCCGAGGTTCAAATCCAGGCAGTCAATCCCATAGCCCACGCTCTTTGCCTTGGATGTGGGTTAGCAGTTTCCAGTGTGCTGTTTGAAACCCTGAGTTGTTCCTTGGACTCTATGGAAGCTGTGGAAGTGGTTGCCAAGCAGAGAAAGCTGAAGCCCTCTTCAATCACATCAGCATCATTTCCCTTGACTTCCCATCTTGGGCTTTTGTAGGAAATAACATCTGAAGAAGGGGATGTGATACTGAGAAAAGCTGAACCCTTCTGGAACCTTGGCTCTAGAGTTTCCTGCAGTATGGATTCTATTATCATTTAAGGAGCTGACTCCTCCCTCATGAGATCCCTCGCCCCCCTCAGCATCTTCTTTGCCTAGCCCTTGAAGGCAGGGTGAAACAAACGCTTGCCATTGCAAATTGCACTGATGTTGGGAATAAAACTTACAAGATGTCCTTGGCCAGCATGTCCTCAAGTGCTGTTACTATCAAGGAGCACAAGCATGTTCTTGCCTACCAGCCAGAGGGAACATTCTGGGAGCATGGAGTCACTGTGTCCCTGGACTGGAAGAGACCTTGGGAGTCATGGAGTTAGGCTTCTTGATGTATGAGCCTCTCCAACAGCCCTACTGGTGACAGGGAGCTGTACCTGCAGGAGACTGGTCTTCTATGGACAGACACCACTAGAGAGACTGCTGTGCCTTGTGCAAAGTCCAATCTGTCTCCCTGGAACTGCACCATGGTCCTCAGCCTCTCCTCTGGCTGCTCTGCCACATGACAGGCCTCGGAATTCTTGCTGACAGTTCTTATGTCCCCGTCAAGTCTTCTCCAGGCAAAGCCACCCCAGCCTTTCTATCCCTTCCTCAGATGACACACATGGTTTCAAGTCCCGTTATCGTCAGCATATTAACATTTGGAGAAAGAAAATATTGCATCATTCGTCAGCCTTTGCCCAGGGCTGAGTTCCATGACCTATTCTTGGGCAGAGGAGACATCCTGGGTCCCCAGGGGTGAGACACAGACAAGGGCAGACAGATGACATTGGGAGACCTGGGGGCAGGGCGAGCCAGGAGCTGAAGAGAGCCAGACCTGCTGGGCCAATTGCAGGGGTATCCTGGGAGGGAGCTGTGGGCTCAGGCATGCTATCTGAAACTCTGCCCAGGCCTGTGCTGGGCATGTCAGCTCATTAGAGCTCAGCATTCATGATACAACTGAGTCCCATGTTCCTGACCACACTACCCCCAAGCAGATCTCAAGAGAAAAGCCTATGAACCCAGAAGGTGGGTCCCCTCTGAAGGGGACCAGTTGTGTTTGCATAGAACTCTCTAGCAAGTTGGCTTCATGAGGGCAGGGCTTGGTTCCTTGGGTACCACTCTATTCCATTATGAAGGATGGAGCCTGGTATATAGTAGGTGCTCAATAAACACTTGTTGCAAGAATGAATAAGGAAGAATCCCAGGCTTCTGGGAGTAAGGATAACAATGGGTGCTGCCATTTATTAAGAACCCACTCTGTACCACTCTTCAGGATCTGTGAAGACAGGGGCTGTCACTGCTTCACTCACTCCAGTATCCTTGGTGACACACAAAGACGTGCTCAGTAAATATTTGTTGAATGTTCAGTGCTTACATATGTTATCTCATTTGTCACCCAAACAAGATAGAAGGGAAGAGACGGGAGAGGTGTTAGTGACAGAGTCTCTTTTACACACACACACACACACACACACACACACACACACACACACCACCCAAAACCAGGACTCTGTTTATTCTTTTCCCATGCCCAATTTTGTTCTACAAACTCTCAAGCTGTCAAGACCCAATGAAAACAACACCTCCATGAAGCCTTCCTTAATCTGCCCAGTGGGAATGCCTTGAGTTCCCGTCATACTGTGTCTTCAACTGTCTTTCAGAGCGTAGTAATGAAGTGCCATAGCTCTGGGATCACACTTCTGGGCTCAAATTCTGGGTCAGATTCTTCCAAGCCATGTGACCTAATCACTGCATACCTTGGTTTCCCCACCTGTAAGTAGGAGCTAATAATAGCACAGTTTTCCTAGGACTATTGGGAGGCTTAAAGGAATTAGCGTGTATAATGTGCTTTGCACAGTGCCTGACACAGGGTTAGTAAGCAGTAAATGCTAGCTATTATCATAGTATTACTGCATTGTGCCCTATACCAGAGCTATCTGGTACACAGAGCTGGGCTCACTGAGAGGGTGAATGAAACACTGAAGTGGTCCACTCTCATTTCTCCACAGGATAGCAGAGCTCAAGGGTCACATCTTATTCAATACTGTGCACTCCTATCTACCCCTTTTTCTGGGAACTGGCCCACAGCTAGATCAGGGCCAGCATCAGTGAGTGCCTCTGGCATGGAAGTGGAGGGCTAGGGCATGGGGATGGGGATGGGGCTGATAGCTGGAAGCCAGGCTGGGCCTCAGGTGTGAACTGCAGACCTGGTACAGGCCCTGGCAGGGCTCTGCTCTGACTCCTTCTCATCTCCTCAGCAAGCCATGATTTATGGATGAACAGAATCAAACAGGACTGTGGGCTGCTGGGATGCCCCAGGGAGCTGCTAGAGAGGGAATGGACTTCTGAGGGCAAGCTCACAGGCTGCCTGTGAGGGAGGGAAGGCACATACAAAGGACACAGACACAGGCATCATGGCCTTTTCACACACACACATCATAGAGACTCACCCCTGACATGGACATTCATACTCACACACACATATATGCATGCACACATATGTATGCACACTCATGGCCAGGGCCATAAGCAAATGTCATTCATGAGGCCTGAGCATTCATGTGCTTCCTCTGGCCTGGATTTCTTTGCTCCTGGGTTTGCTGTCATCTGTTCATTCATATTCTGTCTCCTCTTTCCTTCTGAGGTAGAGCAGGTGCCCCAGCTCCATCACTGGCCAGCTACGTGGCCCAAGCAAGGCCAAGGGTATCTTAGCATTCTCCTTTCCAATGATGACGATCAGTCCTGAGCTCCTCTGATAGGGTCCTGCCAGGACTAAATGACAGCCAATATCCATTGGGGACACCCAGGGTGGCAGATACTGTATCAGCAAGTTGTCACCCATCATCTCTAGAAGCTCAGGTCATTAATATTCCCATCTTACAGGAGAAGGGACAGAGGCATGGAGAACTAAAGGCCTTTGAACCTGTCCTTTCCCACCATGCTACAATGGCCTCCTTCTGGGTGGAGTGATGTCATATGACATGCTCTACTGCACAGCTGAGCCACACCCTGCTTTCCTCCTTCCTTAATGGACCCATGTTGGTCATTTTATGCCTATGAAGCCTTGCGTAAGCTGTTCCCTCTGTCTG